GAAGTGATCGCACTACGTTATGAAATGGCAGAAGTTAGAATTCATGGGGTGGTCATTAGATCGGCTCCCAGTAGCTGAATGGTCTTGGAGCAAGCCTTGTAACTAGAAGAACCTTGGTTCGAACCCTGACGATCGGTGTGTACTGATGAAGAGTCCCAAATTAGTCTTGACGAAACATCTGCCCAGTACTCAAGAGTTTTTAACCTTTCTGTGTGTTTGTCTATTTTATATTGACAAATTAACTAGACTTTTATAGTCACTTGATTTAGTTCATAACACTGAATTTAATCGCCGCTGATTATACATTAAACCTGGCGTCTATTGTTCAATACTTCAATCTGTCTAGTTGTATGACTACAGAACATGATCATTAAACGTGAAGAACTGATGGAATCTTTATTCATTTTTGACTTTTATTGACTGTCTAGTTTTACTATTATTATTCTTTGGGTGGAACATAGGGCTTCAATATGCACATCTTCATTTCACCGTGTTCTTTGCAGTTGTCTAAAGACAAGTTACTCCACAATTGCCTATAGGCTCTTATATCCTCCTCCTCACACTGTTTCCTTCGTGTCACCCGTGGACGCATTTTGAACTCATCGTTTCACAGTCAGGTTCCACTACAGCAACGACTGCATTACACACGATATGATTTGACGGTCTTGTCAGTGTGTACCTGTTCATCTCCGCTTTCTTCTGCATAATTGTTAAGCAGTTGGTTCTTCATTGGTTTGTTCCCAAAATTTTTGGTTGCTGATTCTTGCCCACCAGCCATTTGAACTTCAAAAGGGAGCCAGCGAAGGCAGCGGTTGGATAAAAATCTGCAGTAGATTGTTGGAAATGCTTTCTCTGATGCGTGTGGCAAGTTTCTGACCCATATAAAAGAAGTGACTAACTGACTGATTGACTTAACACTGTTGTTAAAAATTCGGATTTTTTTTATGTTGAGTGAAGGGTGGAAGATTTCGGGTTGACGAAGGTTTGTCTTGCCTTACTTCGTCCGTCCCTCCAGCCTGGGGTTGAAACGGTACTTCCGTTGATAGTCAGTGGTGCTGGTTTTTGTTGCTGTTGGTGGTATGTTGGTATCTTCATCAACCCCGTTTTCTCTATGTTTTCACTTGAAGTCCTGTCTTCACTATCTGCCTCCGTGGCGACAACTGGCTGTTAGCCGAAATTGGTAGACAGTAATTTACGTCAATGTTTATATCCCCAATATTGGTCGTGAGAAAAATAAGAACAAAGGCTTTGCTTGGGCGGATATAGTTAACATATAGATGATCTGACATTCAAGAGACAGTCACAAAGAGATATAAGGTTAACTTTCTGTGAGAAACAACCAATCAGAGGACTGTGTTTTTCTGCTAACAATAATCTATAATAATTTACATGAAAATCTATAAATATGTGTTGATTTCCTAAATAAATGATCTGTTTCCAGGCCCTTGTCTTCTGTCATTACACCTCTTCTGCTAGTTTGTTGTTTTTCGCCTGTAAGTCTTTAAATTTATGTGATATTAGACATCAGTTTTTCCCAAAATTCAGACCTTCTAGAGTCTTTCTATCAGCCCATCGTATTTCCATCTTCTCGTTCACCATTCACTGTGTGCTGCATAATCTAGTCCACCAAAATTAGGAATATCATTGATGATATTACAAGAATTATGGGACTGATGAATAAGGCATTTGACAAGGTACCAGAACATGTGTTACATACGCATGCCTACTCACGACTTGATTTGGAGTAATTTTTTAGGTGAAGTTTGAAGTGATGTAGTAGAGAGAGAAGAGTATCCAAACCAACACATAGCAGAAATATATAGTTAGTAATCATGGGTTGATATATATATGTGGTGAGAGCAGGCTGCTAGACGATTGGTTGACACTAAGCTACGTTAATATGGGCCGTGAGAAAATATGAACAAGGCTGAGTCAACAACCAATCACAGCAAAGTTAACGTGGCAAAATATGATTCGCAGATAGAGAACTCTATTTGTCAAGGAATCCCGAAACAACCAATCAGAAGCCTGCGTTTGTCTGCCTAACTTCTGATAAACAACCAACCAGATGACTGCGCTTGTCTATAATAATGTATGTGAAATATGTAAAAATACGTGTTGATTTTCATAATAAAACGATCTGTTGCTTGGCCCTTGTCTTCTGTTGTTACATATATATATATATATATATATATATATATATATATATATATAGATAGATAGATAGATAGATAGATAGATATTATAGAGAAGATTTGTAGCTCAGGTGGATGATTTTGATGTGGTTTTGTTCTCTGAGCTGGATGGTTAGTTTGCGAAGCTTTCATCACCTTACTGGGTGACATCTTCAGCGCATACTTCAATTTGAAGTGAGCTTTTAGATTTCTCCACGAGTTTATTAATCATCTCTCCTGGTGACCTTGGACGTGATTGGTTGTTTGTGTGTGTTTTCACACCTTCTAGGTTACTTGTATTGGAACCGGTTGTTTCTTTGACTTGAATTTTGACCCTTTGTCTGTGAAGTTTCTTTCTTATTGGTTGATAAATTTTGTCTATGTCGATGTGTCTATTGATTGATGATCCACTGGAATGCCAAGCTTCTAAAAATTCTCTAGCATTCTTGTTATTTCCTTTGTCTAATATTTGAACGTTGTCCCAGTCGAATTGATGTCCGTAGTTGTCTGTGTGTAGTGAAATGAGGGAGTGGATATCATGTCTTTTGACGGCTAGCTTATGTTCGTGGATACGAAGACGAAGGGGACGTCCACTTTGGCCGATGTAGTGTTTTTCGCAGTTGTTACAGTTTATTTTGTAGATGATGTTGGTTTTGTCTTCTTTCGCTGTTGAGTCTTTTGGTTGACATAGAATTGAGTGCAGCGACTTTGTTGGTTTGTGTACGACGTCAATTCCTAAAGGTTTGAAGAGTCTTGTAGTGATTTCTGAGATATCTTTTATATATGGTAAGGCAATTTTCTTTGTGTTTCCTTGGTGGCTTTTGCTTTGGTAGGTTGGCTTGGGGGTATATGTCTCTTGATGAAATTCCGTGGATATCCATTCTTTTGGAAGACGTCCATGAGATACTTTTCTTCAATTTTTCTTAAGGTGGGAGTGCTGCAGTGAGTCCTTGCCCTCTTGAATAGTGTTTGTATGCAATTCCTTTTGTGTGTTATTGGGTTGTTGCTGTTGTAATTCAGTATTTGGTCTGTGTGAGTTGATTTCCTATAAACTTGAGTTTCTAATTCTCCTGTAGTTGTTCGCCTGACTAAGACGTCCAAAAATGGTATTTTGTTCTCGGATTCCTCTTCTCTTGTGAATTTGATGTCGTTGAAGACGTTGTTTATTAAGTTGTGAGTTTTATCTAATTCGTTTCTTTTGATGATTACAAATGTGTCGTCGACGTAGCGTATCCAAATCTTGGGTTTGATCTTTGGTAGAATTATATTTTCGAGTCTTTGCATCACTGCTTCTGCAATCAAACCTGATATTGGCGATCCCATGGGTGTTCCTTTGACTTGTTCATATATTTGGCCGTTGAATTGGAAGTATGTTGTTAGGCATAGATTTATGCATTCCATCCAGCTTGTGTGTTGCATTTTTGATTGTTGTGGCAGTTGTTCGTCGTTGCTAAGTAGTTGCTCCATGGTTTCTTTTGCTAGGTTTTGTCCGATGGATGTATATAATGCTGTCACGTCGAATGATACCATTATTTCTTGTTCATCTATTTGGATGCCTCTGATTTTCTCTAGGAATTGGATACCAATCAAATTCCTAGAAACCAACATTCGAATTGTTTTTGTTTGATTACAGCTGGATTCCACGCTGTATTTTTGGTACAAGTACGGAATTTTCAGCATGTGATATCGGTAGCCCAAATTTTGCAGGCCGACCATAGACATGAGGTGCGTATGGGTAGGGGATCGAAGCCCGGACCATTTGCATGGTCGGCGAGAGTCGTAACCACTGTGCCACCGGCGCACATTTACTTAGTTTAACTCAGTAAGTTGATAGTGTCACACCTGACACTTCTCTCACCACATAAAATTTGTCCCGGTCAAACAACGGTATGGTAGAATTTTGATACTTGGTCATTCGACCATATACTCTTCTGTAGTTACTGCTACTTCGCCAACCTGATGAGACAGATTCAAGGAGAGAGTTGTCCATAGAAAGAATGCTCAGTGTTCGAAAAGATAATACTGCCTAATTTATTGCTGTAGTCCATGTGTTTATCTACAACAGTATGAACGAGATCGCGGTTTAAAGACGTCCTACTCGAACTACTGAGATCTTTTAATGCCTTTTGCATTGAAAAATACAAGGAGGTGGGGGAATTCACAAACTGTGAAAATAGAGACTGACTGAGTGATACCAGATTGTCTTAAACTCCTTACGTAGAACGTTAGACAAAATATTCTTCCAGAAACTAACACAATATGGGAAGACCAAGATAGATCAGAGGAAATACACAATCTAAGTTATTTATCTAATATTCGACTTATTTTCAACTTCAGTGGCATCTATGATAGTAGGATCATGCGAACAAACCAGTTCATGTAAGTTACGCTTATTACTGAAAGTGAAATCAACAACTTGACATTCAGAGGGACTAAGCTGACGATTATTTGTTAATAAGAACCAGTGACTAATTTCTAAGAAAAATGCTTTTCATTTTAGAACAATCTGATTGAGAAGTAACTGAGGCATAGAATTAGTCGAATCATCGGCATATTTGACTGGACATAGATAAAACAGCCAAGTCATTTCAAACCATCTGGATTTTTCTTTGCCATTTGGATGAACTGATAATACATAACTGAAGTAGATCCTAAGTGGATCAAGTGTCTTGCTGATGTCTACCAGCTGTGACAGTTTATCAACTCTTACCAATGCCAATTTACTTATTTGATTACTTACATCAGTTATGCCTATTTTTTGTTCTCTGGAAAGATTTTTTTCATGAATCTGTTGACCATTTACTGGTTTTCTTCTTTATTTCACAGAAACACAGAATCGATTATTCATACACATATCAAATCTAAGAGAAAATGGTCTCCAATTGTGATCAGTTTTCTAGTTCTACAATTCCAATGCAATGTAAATCAGAATACAACTCTTCAAATCCCAATCAAAAAGACTATCAGCCTGATGATCCGCCTGTAACTCCATGGATACGTGGAGATGTTATCTATGAAGGAAGTGAGTTTGTCCACTGTTACTTTGTACTCTCCGGAGTTATTTAATACTATATTGATTGATGTGTTTAATTATTTGATGTGGTTGTGTTCTCTGAGCTGGATATTTAATTTGTGGAGCTTCCATTGCCCCACCACTAGGCGACGTCTTCAGCGCATACTTCAATTCGCTGAATTGAGCTTTTAGATATCTCCACGAGTTTATTAATCATCTCTCCTGGTCACCTTGGATGTGATTGGTTGTTTTTGTGTGTTTTCACACCTTCTGGGTTACTTGTATGGGAACTGATTGTTTCTTTGACTTGAACTCTGACCCTTTGTATGTAAGTTTTTTTTTATCGGTTGATAAATTTTGTCTATTTCGATGTGTCTATTGATTGATGATTCACTGGAATACCAGATCAGGCTTCTCAAAATTCTCTAGCATTCTTGTTGTTTTCTCCGTCGAATATTTGAACGCTGGTTGTCCCAGTCGAATTGATGACCGTGGTTGTCTGTATGTAGTGATATGAGGGAGTGGATATCATGTCTTTTGACGGCTAGCTTTTGATCGTGGATACGAAGACGAAGGGAACGTCCACTTTGGCCAACGTAGTGTTTTTCGCAGTTGTTACAATTTATTTTGCAGATGATGTTGGTATAATTGGAAAGCACTCAATCCAATTTGTGGTGATCTATAGATATATTGCATCATTTAACTGATAAGTTCAACCTCGGGTCTATGCAGAGATCCTGCAGAGTTGACACCGTGGAGTTTTTCTGACGTTTCATGTTGCACTTATCTGACAGTGCAGAGACTGGGTGTTCGAGTTTCCAAAGAGTCCGGATTTTGCCATTCTAATAAGAGTTTTGCGTAAATTATCTCACTTTTGAGATAGATTCACCCATAAAATCACTTAGGAATAAATTATGTCTCTTAAACGATCCCGTGAAGCCCAATAAACAAAATAATTCATTTTAAGGATTGTCAGGTCCAATTCAAAGGTTAGTGTAGTAGAAAGTGGCTAGTCAGACTAGCAGAGCACAAAAGCCTAGCAGAATCTCACTTATTTGACCTTAATAAGATAAGATATCTAGAAAATAGCTCAGCTATAGCACTCCATGCAGTTATGCACAGGCATACAATAAGATGGGATAAAGTGACAGTTTCGGAATGTAATTTAACAGGGTGTGGAGGGAGAGATTGATGATGGAAGCTTTGTTTATCGATTCAACTGCCAATACGTGGAATAGGAATGATTCAACACCTTTCCAGCATGACATCTGGAAAATTCTACTACCCGTACGACAAATAGGAAAGATTAAAGAAAACTAGAAAAAGAAAGTTTCGAAGTTTTGTATTGATGAACGATATTGATTATGACTAATTAACTCTTCTGGAAACGTCTTCCAGGAAATGGTATTACTATTTCACAGTGTGATAGATTAGATTAAAAAATTAATATGGAATTTAAAAGTTTTCTGGCCAACACCAACAGCAACAACAACAGACAACAATCAGCATAAATTGGAGAAATCTGAAAGGAACAACCTCCTTCACCTGCCTACCTGGGAAGCATCGTTTCAACTACAGGCCAGCGGAACTGACGAGGATATCAAAGCCAGAATCGGAAAAGCAAGGCAAGGTTTCATTACTCTCAAGCCTGTGTGGAAGTCAGCAGCACTCAGCATCAAAAATAACATCCGGATTTTCAACTCCAATGTAAAGTCAGTGCTTCTATACGAATCAGAGACTTGCACTGCGCGTCATAAAGAGCATCTCAAACAAACTCTAGACCTTCATCAACAGTTGCCTTCGCTCAATCACACTCAAGATCAGATGGCCGGACAGAAAAGATCAGCAACACGGATCTCTGGCAGTGAGCGAACCAACACCACAGGGACCGACTGTGAAACAAATAGTCAGGAGGAAATGGAGATGGATTGGCCATACTCTGAGGAAACCACCAAGTGACATCACTAGACAAGCCATTGCTCGAGTGGAACCAGGCCGAAAGGGAAGCGGCGAGTTGGTCGTCAGTGGTCGTCAGGGTGAGGGTGACTTGGAGGAGGTCATGCGAGGAGGAGATGAAAGCGTGTTAGAAAACTTGGACAGAAAACAGAAGGCAGTGGAGGTGCGCAGCTGAAGCCCTATGTTCCTCTAGGAACTAAAATAATAATAATAATTAGAAGTTTACAGTTGACTGCCAATAAAACAGTAGTAACCACTCTGTGCTACTTACAAGTCGGCAGGGATTACAGGCAAGGGATCCAGCTGGAAGTGATACAGTAATGAGATGTCTGTCTGCAGAAGTTGTTCAGTTTCTTTTACAGAGCATTAAGGTGACTAGCTAAAAGTATAATTGGAAATCCGGAAACAAGCTACACCAATAAATCGTCACAAAATCCCGGAATTAATGGATTTTAAAAGGAATTTACTGTCCTACCTACCTTGAACACCTTGCAACACTATCCAAAGGATTCAACAGAAATAATCAAAACAAATTGTTTGATTGACAATTTTCATTGATTTTTTCCTTTAAATCTCAATGTATGTATGGCATGCAATTTTTCTGTTCAGTAATTTTTATTAAGGTGTCCAACCATTAGGTTATAGATCCTTAATCCATAGATTTATTTGCTTATAATTATTGACTGAAAGACTAGGTGAACTATTCGTCTCCCTGTCCCTTTGTTGATCGTTGCTAGTGCTTCGTCCTATTTGGTACCGATTCGGTAGATATACCTGCATTATCAAATGAGTGATTTTGTTCCTAGTGGCACTCGAACCCAGCACTCATGATTTTAAATATCAAAAGTTTCGTCCTGGGAGCTGACATGCCGAAAGAAACTGACTATTTCACCCTAGTATAATCAGTCGGTAGGGAATTCGGAAGAAATGCATTTTCCCATTCATTCTTAGCTATACAGCATTCTCATAAAGTATGGAAACTCAGGTAACCCCACCCCACCCGCCTCACACGCACACACAGTAATTCGTGGTCTTGTGCAGCAGTAACTAATCCACTTCGTTGATGAGCATCTCAGAAACACCAAATGAAAACTTAAGGATTCAAAATTAGATAAGTTGTTGATCCAGAGCCACTGATAAGATAAACAGTCATGTTCTAAGGATAACCAATCAGATTTAGAGAATAGAAACGAACACAGTATACATACAGTTCACCTAGTCACCATAATTAACTCCAAGAATGTGGTCGTAAATGTTGCCACGGATATTCTGTTGGCTTGAACGCATACATGGAAGCTACCCACGCAAAAGAGTATCACTCCCTAATAAGTTCATGATGACCCAGATCCCCAATAGTTGGTTCACTTGTTCAGAGTCTATTTTATTAATGGCGAATTTTAATTAACTCAACTCAGATAGTTGAAGTTTTCAAATAACTCAGGTTATTGTTGGCTTTTACAAAAGTTCACTAGTGACTGCATCTATTCAAGCAGCTATTCGAGGCTCTAGTGGGAAGCCGCTACCAGTAGGACATAGCAGGTCAGAGATGCTAACAGTTACTCATCGAAGACATCGCTAAGTGGTCGCGCTATGTCGTCAATTAGCAGAAGTTGGAATTCATGAACTGTCCATTGGATGGGATCCTAGTGGCTGAATGGTCTTCGAGCAATCCTTGCAAACAGAAAATCCTGGGTTCGAACCCTTGTGATAGGTGCACACTGATGAAGAGTCCCAAACAAGGAGGAAACACCGTCGAGTACTCCCTGATGGTTTTCCACTTGTTCTCTAACCTATATCAGCTCATGATGAAGTCCTCCAACCAATCAAACAGAATCCCCACAAACCAACATTTCAAAATGACGAATACAGGGTATTGATGTTGACCTCATTTTTAAATGAACCGTAAGGCTGCAGGACCTTGATTTGGCTAGCTGATACAACTAGTTAATTGGGGATGATTTCAAACTACTCACTATCACTCAGTAGTACATAGCGTGTTTAACCCTAATGCGTCATTAGCAAATAATTACATTTGGATTTATTACTCTATAGACTTTCATCAGTACACAAAAAATTGGAATAGATACATTTTTCATCTCATGAAATTACACTAATTAATTAATTTATTAATTCATTAAAAGTATCTAAATGTTCAATACACAATTGTTGTTACAATTTTCAACGGGATCAGTACAGTTTGTTACTGTTGTGATTCAAAAAACGTTGAATAATGCATTTTGGGCTTGTGATACCTAATCGACACAATAAAACAGCAGTTATTGGTTCAAACTCGGCATAGATCGTAGCTACAGATAAAATTGCTGTGAACTGTATCGTTTTGAATAGATCAGTACCACGTTCATGAACATTTCATTCTGCAGTGATAAGTCTGCGATGATCTCAATGATTCCTGACATATTCGAAAGGTGATATTTGGAAAACATGCCTTGAACAGTCTCTCATACACATGACATGGGTGCGTGCAGATGAAGAGTCCAAAACTAGAATGGAATACCTGAATAGTATACCCTGGTTTCTAATAATTCTCTAACTGATGTATCAGTTTGTAAATTCTGAAATTGAAATTAATCAGAATCCTCTAGCAATTAAATTCTAAAATCCTACTTTCGACTGCATTTGTATTCACAGTGAATTCAATTAGAAAGAACTTGTAGGGAATCACTTAATTTGAAAGTAGCCTTCGCTACTGATCAACAATAACTAGAAACTCTCCACAAATGAAGGAAGACCATATAGCCATGTTTATCCTACTTTACGGCTGTTCAGCGGTGTACAGCGACATTTCCTCAGGTAAAAGTTGAGTCTCGTCATTGGAAGGCTGTCATTCGGGTGGTAAACTGCTATATATCATCATATCTGTCGTCGCCATCATTAAATAAATATCCTCATGTGTTCTATGGCTATTCTTTGAAAGCTACTAGTGGAATCCATAGCTCGTCTTTCGTCAGCTCCAGGGCTCGTCAGACATGTATAGCCACATCTTCAATGAGTGATGATATTCCCTCCGATGCTCGAACCCATGGCCAGCGATTTCAAACATTGAAAAACCAACTTCAACGAGTGAAATCCGTATGTAGTTGTGTCTTCCCAGAACTTTTTGGGAATCCATCTAATCCTACGTTTGTTTCATCTGTATAAAAATGTGGGATAATCTGATGCACAATACTCCAAAAAGTACCTACTCATATAAACAGCAAACAGATTATTTACATCATATTAGAAGAGCACAACACTGGCATCTTCTGCACTCAGCATAATAACAAGATTGGGATTTTCAACACGAATGTGAAGTTGGTCATTGCTTCCATACAGGTCAGAAACTTGGCCAGCGTATCACGAAAAATACTGTCAGCAATTTACATACTTCTTTCAACAGCTGCCTCCTTCGCTGACTGTATAGCCAGCCAGCCTGGCTAGGAACAAAACAACCAAGAGATGACTGCTCAACAAATATGTAGGAAAAAATAGAGAGGAGGCTGTCGATCAACATCGCACGCCAGGCCATCGCTTGAGTGGAATTCTGATGGGAAGCGACGAGTGGGTCATCGGTGTGACAGTGACATGAAGGAGATCGTGTGAGCTGGAGGAGATGAGAGATTACGGACAGTTGTGGACCCAGCTGAAGTGAACGGCAGGGAATAGAAGGAAGTGAAGATGTGTTGTTGAAGGCGTGTATTCCACTCACAGACCATGATAATAATGATAGTAATAAACACTGAAGCCAGTGTGAACAATAGAAACTAGACAATAATAATAATAATAAAGGTTTTATTCTGGACAGTTTTTATGTAATGTACAGAAATTTCAGCGGAGTTTATTACAGGATATTTCCTTTTATAATTAAGAGGTGGAAATGGTTACAACACGTGGATTGCATAATGCATAATTTTGGAAAAATGAAGAGCAATTAAGGAATAAGCGTGTGCACAGGTTGATTACGTAACAGATTGTTAAAGAAAATAAAACAATTTGGACAATGATAATTTGTAACTAAAGTTGATGTGGTCATAAGAATAAAATAATTTTTACAAGGATAACACGTAATTAAAGATGAAGTAGTCAGAAAAATAAAATAATTTGGACAATTATAGTTTTTAAAAAGAAAAATTATTCTAGGAGGAGGGTGATGGAGTAGTCCGGTTTATACAGTCATGTAACGATGGCCAAGGTAAGGAAAGTGGCTGTACAAATTTCTTCTGGACACACAAGTTTGGCTTCTTCAGGTGGATTCCTATTGCTTCAGCTGTATGTAGAAGACGAACTCGTAAAGCAAAATTAAGATTAGTAGGAATGCGATAAATAATTTTAAATGCAGTATTAACATCAACCTTATGCTCACTATCTACAAGGTGGGCTAAAATAGAGCTACGAATAGATTTTGTTCGTCCCTTGCTTAACCATGCCGGATGATGTTCGGAAATACGATGATGAACCTGCCTAATTGTTCGCCTGATGTAGCTGGCTCCGCAGCTGCAGTCAAACTGGTAAATACACATAGGGGAGGCGAATTTAGGTAGTTTATCCTTATTACTCGAACGTAGGATAGGTGTGGTCGTGAAGAGACAGCGTACCTCTGCTGCATAATAAGCTCTTTTAACTGCATTCCTCAGTCGCTGCGTTATTATTTCGCTGATGTTGTCACCGAGGAACTGAAGTTTTATAAACAGTGGTTTTTTCGGAACTGTTGCCATAGTCACTGTCCTAGGTGATGAATTCATATTTTTCTCAATAAACTTATCTGGATAACCATTTTTTCTAAGTAATTCTCTAATAATCTCAAGCTCTTCATGGAGGCAGTCGTCTGAACAGATTAACCTAGCTCTATGAACCAGACACTTTACCAGGTTGCGTTTATATTTCAAAGGTACAAAACTCAAAAAATGAGTGTACTGTCCTGTTGTAGTAGGTTTCCTGTACACACTCCTTCTTAGTGTGCCACCTTCTTTCCTTGCCATGAAGACGTCTAGGAATGAGATACAGTCATTACTTTCTTTCTCTATAGTAAAGTTTATTGCTGAATGGGCATCATTAAACTTGTCAAGGATGTTCATTGCGTCGTCCTCGTTTTTTATGACCAGAAATGTATCATATTTTCTATATTTCCTTTTGGTCGAAGTTCTTCAGATAAAATATTTAAATTAAATATTTATAAACCAGGTCTCTGTGTACAAAAAGAAGACGGTCGTGACTCTGAATCTACCATGGTAATACGTTGTACTTATTATTCTACCTCTTATTATTATTATTATCATCATTATTATTATTATTCTTGATTCATTTAAAACTATCCTTTATCAGCAGGATTATCTTAATTCACTTCAACATTATTATTATTGTTATTATAACTATTACTATTGATATTAGTATGTTTGCAATTCTTGTTATATCCCCTAATGACTAATTGTTTATCTAAGTGGTGTAAATGAAGCGTAATGCAATTTATCTTAATTTTGATCTCTCATACTCTCTCTCCCCTTATCTATTTGACCATGACCCGGAAAACATTCACACTTGTCTTTATGCATGACTAATTCAATGTAGTTTGTTTACTTATGAGTCTTATATCTCCCAATGTAATTTCAAAAGTATGCATATATCCGTGTATGTATGAGTTCTACCAAAATTTGATGAATCCATCATTAAATCCTGCTTTATTGACCTTTATTGCTTGTTTTAAATTCCTATCGGGAAATAAAAGCTTTTTAATTCTTGAAGATAGAATATTGACTAACAGTGGGTCCTTTGACACAATGCTGTCTAACGTGAAGGGAAAACCGATCCGTCAGGATATTTCGACTTTGTATTCTTCAGGAAATGTATGATGTTTAGCTGAGAGTCAATTTTAGGACATTCAGAAGTACATTCTAAGACCAAAGGATATAACTCATGGACCGTTATCACATCTAAAGGGATTAGCTGACCTCTTCCCGCCCACAGTTATGCTTTTTATCAGGTTTATTATAAACTAGCGAATCAGTAGGTTGTAAGTACTTTAAATACTCACAAGACTAGATAATACCATTCGAAGTTTTATTTTAATAGACTAATAATAATAATATGCTTTATTCCAAGACAGTACTTGTGATACAGAATGGAATTCTCGCCATTTCACTACAGTATTGCATCCAGTTAGTAAATTAACAATAAAATAAAATTCTACATAGATTAAGGGTAATCTCAGTTCATTATGACAACAACATCTTAGCATGTCGGTAGCGAAACCAAAATTGAACAGAGTGTTTGAAGGTGTTAGAAAAGTAGATGCTAGCATATGTACTGGCGTAAGCAGAAGAAAGAAACAAAGCTGCACATAACAGAAAAAAGAGAGAAAAGGAAACGAAAGAAAGAAAGAGTTGGAAAGACGAGATCCAGTTGTTCTACTGACTACTTAATAAGTTATAGGTATCACGCCTAATGCTTTCTTTATCGCACAGAACACGAGCTAGGTAAGGGTATGGTTGAGTTTTTGTACTTACTAGTGCGAGCATATAGTTTTCTATATAGGCTTCTGGTTCTGCCTGTTGAGATAGATACAAGGGGAGAATTGTCAATGAAGAGGGTGGTGTGAGTTAGATAGGTAGAATGGATTTAGCCCATTTTTCACATGAGTCCATGTGCCTGTAAACCAGAACACTAAGAAGCTGGTTAAGTGGCATGTAGCTTACCCTGCTGACAACCTTTAACTTCCTGCGTAATAAGGCATAGTCTTTCTTCAGTAGCCAGCCCTAGAAAAACTAAGGGAGAACAATAGAGAATAATAGACAGAATACGGGAGTTAACGAATTGTGGGAGTAAGGGTTGGGTTGTTCCAGAATGTCTTTACTTCTTGATGTAGAAGGTAAGTGATCAGGAGAAATAAAGATCCAATATAACAATGGAGGATTTTGGTAGCCCAAGTTTTAAGTAGACTTTCGGATGACTGTCTTAGATGATCACACCTGTGTATGTATTCTATTCAAATTCCCTACACAATTCAAATACTTATTTTTGCATATAAGAGTCATTAATCATAATTGGATTAACTGATTTGATCCTATCCAGATAATTATGAATTTTCTTTGCCTCACTATAGTCGTTGTAATCGTTTTGTATGTTCTTAATTTACTTTTTTAAAACAAACTTCAGTGGTACCAGCTGATCGAGGTTATGTACCAAAACATATCTTCGGTAGACGATACTTTACAAAGAATGGTTCAAAATTCTACAATGGTGGTGGTAATTATGCAGATGGATCTAATTATTATTATTATTATCATCATCACGGACGTAAAGGCGGTGGTCGTACACCTAATCGATATTATTATCATGCAGGCCAACGCATTTACTACAACAATAATGCTACTAACAATAATAATAATAATAACGGTAACTACAATAATAATAATTATAGATCCCGGTGTCCATCTGCACATTCCGTGTGTACATCACCTCTGTCATCTAGCCAATCTGTAGTGAATTTAACTGATACATCTATGAATGATTATTATGCGTATTATAAAAGTTGTAGAGCATATCATCAACATCATCATCGTTGTCCAAATTCTAGTCAGCCAACTGGCATGACAAATGAACAATTAACTGATGAGTATATCGATGATTGTTTGTCTACAGATTTGGCTCAATATCAGCTGAAATTAGATATGGACAGTAGTCTATATGATGAGTACAATACAAAGATCATCATGAAACGTAGAGAGAATATTGATGCTTGGGTGAAATCTTCTTCCCCTTCAATGGATTCTGATTTAATGTCAGTAGATATTAGTCAATCGTCATCATCAAACAATAATCATCATCAGCATCATCAATCCTCTCAGGTATTCAATGATACTTATCAAGGTGATTTTCGACATTTACAACGGAAAAGTAAAAGTACACTGGACTTATTGACATCAGATGCTACTTTAAATGACCTCAGTAATGAAGGCGGCAAGAAAAACACCAAGGATACTAAAGTCAGTGAGGAGCTGACTACAAATGATAGCGGTAATCCTATTCAAGAGCATACAGAAGAAAAACTAAATGCTGAAGATGACAGTGATATGCAGAAACACTGTAAGTAATAATATATTTTCAAGAGTCTGTTTGTAAAGATTCGATTTGGTTTCTCAAGTTTTGATCATGAATTGATGTCATTTAGAGAACCATTGAAAACCAGCTGTTTTGTCGTATAATGAGACTCACCGACAGTACACATCCATTGCCAGGAGTTCAAACCCAGAACCTACCGGTTAAAAGGTTCGATTCAATGGCTCGTGAATTCTAACTTCTACCAATTCGTGATTTAGTGTGACCCCAACCATTGTCGTTGGTGGGACATCCACCCTCACACGTGACATCTGGATGGACCTCACTGGTCACGACTTCTCACTAGAACTCCAGGAAACAAGTGACTTGCTACAGGATGGAGTTTCCTGGAGTTCTAGTGAGAAGTCGTGACCAGTGAGGTCCATCCAGATGTCACGTGTGAGGGTGGATGTCCCACCAACGACAATGGTTGGGGTCACACTAAATCACGAATTGGTAGAAGTTAGAATTCATGGACTGGCCATTGAATTGGGTCCCAGTGGCTGAATGGTATACAAGCTTGCCTTGTAACCGAAAGGTCCTGGGTTCGAAACCCAGTGTGTGCGTACTGCCGATGATTCCCAAACAAGGATGAAATAGCTGTCCGGGTTTCTCTAGTTTTCAATGGTTCTCTAACTGATATCGATTCGTGATCAACTCGTAAACAACAAAATTAATCCTTACAAATCAAACTATGGAAAACTTTCAATTCAGTAAAAGTGCGCATCATCTATCATTGGGTTCAACAGAACTCAGAATTATATCAATTAACCATTGGGCAGTAATTCTCTTAGCGTTATCTAGTTATGAATACAATAAGTTTTTAAGTATTGATGGTTTCTTTGACATTGCAAATATGCCTTACTGATGATGAGTGCCCAAAAACATGGAAAATGAGTTCATAACTTTCTGACACTTAGACTTCTTAGTATTTGTATGGTGGCGTGATACAGACAATGTGTGCCAACGGAATGTTATTCTTACATGCTTCCACAGTTCCTTTTGGCATTAACAACAGAATACAATATAGCTATCTGAACATTCTGTTTGATGTTAGAGATAGAATACCTTCCCACATTTCATTACTACATTGGCAACAGAATACTGTGTGTATTTGAATATTCGATTTCTTGTCGTTTGACGTAAATAGAAATCACACGCTCAGTGAGATTGGTTAACGAATATAAACTGTAGATACATATAAACAGCAGTTCGATGATTGAAAAATATACCTTGGCTTCCATGTCTTGCCTTCTGTTGTTATAGCAGTAGTGATAAAACCCTATTGAGATATACTGAGACTTAGGGAAATGTGGATTATGAAAGTCTTTGGTTCATTGGCTAAATATTAGAGAGCTTATCTCACGAATTAATGATAATGAGATCTTCTCGCCTCTTGGGATCGGTGAGAATGAGTTGTTAAGTTGGATCAATACTTTTGAAGATTATGTCACTATGTGATTAAACATACTGTAAAATCAGGCGTTTCTTTTTTTCACAAACCAACTTATTGCGTATAGTTTCAGTGGATTAAAAAACAGAAATATCAAGCGCGTTATTTAAAAAAAGATGATTGCAACGATGAAAATCGTCTTTCCTACGAAGTTATCAATCTGATATACGTGTACATTCTGTATTTATGGTAAATGGGTGAGAAATTTCTGGAACTATTTCCAATCAAGGGTAAAATTTACAAAAATTACAGTGTGATTGTCATGTACTCGTCGCCAATATGATATGGGATCATTGCCGATATTATGGTGTGACGGGAGAACTATGGATCCTAAAAAAAATTGGAATTAGTACTTGAGCAACAAATGCGACTAATGGAAATGCTCATCACAAAACAGACTGGTTCACCTTCACCTTCAAGCACTCCGAATCATACCATGGCACCATCTGTTGATGGGACTGTGAATAGTACTACACAATTCAATTATGATCCAGATGCTAATATCACTTTCGACACATGGTAACAACACTATGAGGATTTTGTTGTTTACCTTTCTAGTTCATGGAATGGGATTTCACCCGATGGTCACCCTAGCACTGTACCAATCCATGTTCACTATCTTTGGTAAATTTGTTGAGCAATCGGCTCTCAGTTGATTTTTTCCCAAAGCTCCCTGCGCTTTATCCTTTTTGACTATTCAATCTTTAATATAGAGCCAGTGAAGGCAGATGTTAATAAAAGTCTGCAACCAGCTACTGGAAATACTTTGTATGACGCGCAGTACACGTTTCTGATCCATATAGAAGAACTGACCTGACTGACTTCAGATTAATTTTGAAAATTTAATCTTGCTCTTTATTCTGGCCACGTACTGAAGATTTTGAAACTGATTTCAGAGTGATGAATGTCTGTTTTGTCTTTACAATCCTCGCTGGTTTCGACATCATCATCATCATCATTTCGGCCGCCTGTATTTGATGCGATGCTGTTTCGTCCGATAGGTGAAAGAAGTAACCTCTTTAAAATTTCTCGCATTGGTAGTGATTGGTACTTGTTACTGTTGGACCGTTGGTTGGTTAACTTCATCACCTTCGTCTTCCTTATCTCCATTTGAAGTCCTGCCTTTGCTGCTTCATCAGCCAGCTTGTCGGTTATCGCCTACAAGTCTCAGAGATTATGTATCTTTAGAAGTAAATCACCTGCGAGTTCCACGTCTTTCAGAGTCTTTTTATCCGTCAAGCGTATTTCTGTCTTCTTGCTTACAACGCACAACTGGACGCATAATCCAGTCCACTTTCCTTTACATATGTCCCACTGATCACAACTGATGCTTTTTATTGTTAGTTAAACACCTTCGTCACGTCTGTCTTCTCTGTGTTTACTTGAAGTCTTGTCTTCGCTGTTTCTTCAGATAGTTTGTTGGTTCTTGTATATAGATCTTATCCTGTATGAAGAAAAATTTAATGGCATAATTTCCTGCTGAAATCATCATAGTATGACGGTCAAACTTCATAGATTTATTTCATTGTTTTATCTTAAAGAATTTAAGATAACTAAATAACCCCTATGGAAATCCATCATCATTTGTTAATCTCAACGGAAAACTGTGCTAACCATATGTCTCTAAAAAAGTACCGAAATTTGAGAGAAGAACAATCACGCTCATTGTTATCAAAAATGACCGTCATCAGTCTTGAAACTAATCAAATCGCCACAAAAAAAAATTCCTGAAAATTAATCTGATGCCTTCTAGTGAATTACTGGCAAAAAGACGAAGTTGTCTGAAGCTCTTTTTTAGTAAGAGCTTGTGACCAATTGTGATCCACAACATCATACCGTGCATAAAGACAAATACTCGCCACTGGTAACATTAGCTGATGTCAGTTATGCTAAAGTGGCCATGAATTAGTGGAAGTTAGAGTTCATGGATCACTGAGTCTGATCTCAAAGGGCTGAATGGTCAACGAGCTTGACTCGTAGCTGTAGTGTCGTGGGTTGCAACCCCTGTTGATGGGTGCATATTGCTAAAGACTCCCGGACTTTGGGGAAATAGTTAGTCATCCAGTACTCCCTGTGGGGTTTTCAATAGTTCTCTAACTGATATCAATCTGTGATCAAGCGGTCAAGTTAAACTTTAAGCACCGCTAGCTTTCCAATGAAATGCAACCTCATCAATGACCTTGAAACGCTCACTGAGCAAGTTTATGAAACCTGGCAAGTAATGTTATCATCATGAATAAAATATACTCATTGAAGTGACGTGTTAGTAAATAGGATATCTGGAAAGTTTCAGATTAGATTTGGGAAAGATTAAGTTACGCTTTGAGCCAAGGACCAGTTACGGTTAGGTTTACCTAATGAAGGCGACATTAGGGTTGGTTCGAGTTAGATTAGGCTTAGTTTAGGGATATTTCCACTTTAGCGGTAGGTTCAGGAAAGATAAAGGTTATTGTTAGGGGAGGGTTAGAAGACCTAAATAATTACATGCATAGAATGTGGTCAAAGTGCTCTGCTAATATAAGAATAGAACTTCTGCCCTGTGGTAGAGTATAATTCCATTATGGGTAAATTTGTTTTGATAAATTCTCACAGTTTTATACAACAATATTTATTGATAACGTTTCCAGCCCAATCTATTGTTCAGTAAATATTACTGTATAAACTAAACTATGAGACTTTATCAAAATAAATTTTACCCACAATGGAATTACACTCTGTTGATACACCAACCTAAAACTAAGAGCTATTTTTATCACATATGAGAGGAAGTGTAACGCTTGTATAACACTTTTCTACAGTTTTTATGGATTATTTCGTAAATATATATGTATTCAGTAGACAAAAATGCCTCCTTCACGTGAATGGTGCTTTCTAGGTCATTTGTTTATTGGTATTTAGTGGTGCTTAAAGTTTAACTTTTTCGATCAAGTTTAAAAGTATCACTAATGGGAAATTTTCAAAACCTCACTCCCCTTAACTGAAGTAGGCCTTGAAGATATTTTCTAAAATCACCATGAGTAAACTACAACTACTGCTCAGCAGCCTGGTCCGTCCTTCTTTATGGCCAGCTGTGAGACCTGGCCATTGAGAGTGGAAGACATGAAAAGATAGCTAGCTGTGTTTGAGCATATGTGGCTGCGTTCTATCTCCCGTGTGAAGTGGCATAATAAGATGAGCAATATTGAGGTTAGGCCTCCGTCAAGTGCTAGGTAAGGAGGGGAAATCAATCGACGAAGCTGTGAAGTTACAAAGACTGAGATGGTTAGGACATGTGTTACGTATGCCTAGTCATCGCCTTCCTCGACGAGCAATGTTAGCTGACATAGGGTCAGGCTTGAAAAGAGCTAGTGGCGGTCAAACAAAAACTTGGAACCAGTCAATGAAATCCACAACAGTTGGTCTAAGCCACGTAGGAAGGTGTAGACTTCTTGGCTGGTTGGGGTCCTCGGGACGGTAAAAACCAATGGTTGGAAACAATTGGTTTTATGGCTGGCTCAAAATCGTTCTCAATGGCTGGCGTAGATGCATCCACTCC